ATCATAGTTTACTGCAGCCTCAAACTCCTAGGCTGGGCTCAAGCGATCCTCCTGCCTTAGCCTCCCGAGTAGCTGGGACTACAGGCACATGCCACCATGCCCAGCTGATTTTTCTATTTTTTGAAGAGTCAGGGTCTCACTGTGTTACTTAGGCTGGTCTCGAACTCCTGGCCTCAAGCAATCCTCCCACCTTGGCCTCCCAAAGTGCTGGGATTATAGGTGTGAGGCACCACATTCAGCTTAAAAAGTTAGTAAACTTTTGAGGAACAAAACAACAGCCAAAAACAAGGTGCTCTGCATATGGCTTAGAAATGCTGGGAAGGAGAGATGTGCTGTCCACGGTTAGGAGCAGGCAGGAAGGGAGCGGTGAATTGTCTCCCTAATTTTTATTTCTCTTTGTGTTCCCCTTCCTCACTGCCCCCTCCCCCCACAGCTCCTTCTCATTATCTCTCTTTATTTTTGGTTTGTCAACATCTATGTCTCTTCACCTCACAATCCTCCTCAAAAAGGAAGAGCTGCAAAAGAAAACACAGAATGACCAGGAAAAAAAAACAAAAACATCAGAATGGCCCCTGAATCCAGGACACTGGAAAAGTGGGCCTTGGCTTTGGATTTTCTAATAACATTAGAAGCTAGCAATAAAATATAGGAAGACTTCAAACATTTTCATGCAACTCTTTCTAGGGACAAATCATGGATGCAGTACAGCCAAGTAAAAACACCCATTCCTTGTTCCTCCTCAAGCCCTGCACTCAAGGCCCAAGCCCTGTGGGTTCCACCTCAGAAACATCTCTCAAGTCCACTCCTTCCTCTAGCCCTGTGTCCCCAACTGCAGCCTCATTTCCTCTCAGCCTACTACACACCAATTCAGGTTCAGGAGCTCCTAACTTGTTCCTTTATAAAACTGCATCTGCCTGGAATCCACTGGGTTAACAGCACAGACTCAGGAGCCAGAATGCCTGAGCTTTAATCCTGACTGAACCATTTACTACCATGTGACCTTGGGCAAGTTATTTAACCTCTTAATACTTCAGTTTTCCTCATCTACAAAATAGGAATAATAGTGCCTACGTCACAGAGTTGCTGTGAAGATTACAGCAGTTATAAATGTCAAGTGCTCAGTGCCTGCACGTAATAAATGCTCAGTACATGTTAGCTGATCTCATTTACTACCTGGGAAACTCCCACTCTTCCCGAGTCCCAGCCCACACGTAGCTCTTTCGCCCAGTGAAACTGTCACTGCTTCCTTTGCTCCCCATCCCCCATTCGATCCATGTCTCTATTGTGGTCCTTTTTACTGTGTTTTCCGTCTTTACTGTATTCATACATCTGTGTGCTCCATTAGATCTTGCAAGTCACGAGGGGCAGGGACTGTCTTATTGAGCACCCAGAACACAGTAATTCCTCAACAAACAATTTTCCAGAAAATCAATCTAGTCCCACTGGGATACCTGTGATTTCCAAACATGCTAAGGAGGCTTATGACTGTACCTCAGCACGGGGCGTCCCCAGCTCTTCTCCACCATCCACTTGGTAAATCCATCCTTTTCTCTTTTCTACTCATACTTTCCACCCTCAAGGCCTAAGAGGTAATTCAAATGTCACTTTTTCTATAAAGTCATCTTTGACTCCTCCCTCCTATCCCAGTGAGAATTATCTCTATATTTATGTGCTCCTGGGATTTTATAGCATCTGTCTTTTGTTTTTTTGTGTTTTTTTTTTGAGACAGGGTCCTACCCTGTCTCCCAGGCTGGAGTGCAGTGGTGTCATCATGGCTCACTGTAACCTCCAATACCTGGGCTCAAGCAATCCTCCTGCCTCAGCCTCCCAAGTAACTGGGACTACATGCATGCACTACCATGCCTGGCTAACTTTTTTATTTTTCATAGAAACGGGGCCTCACTATGTTGACCAGGCTAGTCTCTAACACCTGGCCTCAAGCCATCCTTTTGCTTCAGCATCTATCTTTATTAATTAGTTCTCTTAGATGTCTTTTTCTTCCACTCAACAGATCTCTAAGAACCCAATGTGTAACACTGTACATGGTATAGAGTAAACCAGTGGCCCTCAATTTTAGCTGTGCATCGGAATCACCCACAGTTTCTTAAAAATACTGATATGTAGGGCCACATCCTTAAAGAGTCTTATTCAATAGATTTGGGGCAAAGCTCCAAAGTACTCTCTCATAACTGATGGGTAGCCAGGGTTAAGAACCTCTGTAGCAACACAGAAGCATATGCTAAAAGCCTATATCCATTCATCCAAGGGAAGACAATATTCATTCTGCTAAGCCTGAACCCATTCTGAAGATTCCTCCCACTTAAGAAACAGTGCAATCTCAGCTACTTGGAAGGCTGAGGTGGGGGGACTGCTTGAGCCCAGGAGTTTGAGGCAAGCCTGGGCAACATAGTGACACCCCATCTCAAAAAAAAAAAAAAAAAGGAAACATAGGAATAGTATGGTATAGTCCTCACTGATCCTCTGGTTCCTTACTATTAAATGGATATACTTTAAAGGTTCTGCAGAAGGGCAGCAAAAGTAGTAGAATGTGCTGGGCCTAGCCAAGGTAATAGCACAGGTGAACAGAGACCAGGAGAAATAGCTTTATTTGGATTGAGTTGGAGAACAAAAGCAGGACCTGAGATCGCACATGGAGGAGCTAAGAAGTAGAGATTAGGCTCCAACGTGGCAGAGCTCATCAACGAGATGGATCTACCTCCCAGTAACCCGGCAGTTAGTGTGACCAATAGAAGGCCTGCTAGGAAGTGTATTTCCCAGTAAATTACCCAAGTGTGCCAACATTACAAAAAAAGTACAGTTTTTTCTTCATACTTAAATTTTCACAAAATCCCCCAACCACAAGTGTTACAAAAGGAAGTAAAAAAAATCACATTTTACAGATCTTAAACTTGTCTTCAGCATTTAGCTCAAAGGTCTCATCATCTTCAAAAAACAGCCGCCCCCCCAAAAAAATCTACCTTAGAAGCCTAAAGAGACAAAAAAAAAAAAAAAAAAGAAATGAAAAAAAACAGCTCCCCTGCTAAACTCATCAGCTGTAATATCTATCCAAGCAGCAAGAAGACGGCCTTTGCTAGCCCATGGCAATCCTCTTCCCATTTTCCCTAGCCAGTCAGGGCTGAACAGCAAAGTAAGGCTCAGGTGGGGGTCGGGTGAGGGGGTACACAAGGGCTAATTTCCACCAGTACAACATGGCATCTGAAGCTTGATGGGACAGCAGAACTGGTGAGACTTGAGGGAAGGGTCCAGGCCCTGTATTCAGTCAGAGTCACTGCTGGAAGAGGAGGAAGAGGAGGAGGAATGCTGCAAGGGGAAAGGGGAGAGGAGATAGCATCAGATCCAAATGACCTTTGATCACTCCACAGGCCATTCTTTGGTGTCCCACCCCTCCACCCAAGTGATTCCTTGCTTCCCTAAGAAGGTCAGGAGTCTTGAACCAGACTGTACCTTAAACAACAAAAGCAAAGGTTTCCTTCAGCAGTGAGCAAACAGGAATGGATTAAACCATTGTAAATCATTGCACAGAATTTAACATATTGCCTTTGGAGCAAGTTTCCAACTTTCTTTACCTGAGTCAATGCCTAGGCAAGGAATAAATTATAGGCACAAGCATAGTACAGTACTAAAAAACAGCTGCTACTTTATAAATGCTTATTGATTAGCTTCGTGCAAAGTCCTTGTGAATCTAAGAAAAAGAGTAGAAACAGCAGCTGTGCGTGCATGTATCTCTACTTTTTCCTAAGCTCAATGGGAGAAAGTGGGGAAAGTGGGAGAGAAGGCTAGGTGAGTTCTATTCAAGATTCCTCACATGCACACTCCCACTAAACTACCATTAAAAAACATTTTTTGTCTCCCCAGGGTAATTTCTCCCCTCTCTCCTATTCAATCTCACCTTTCATTTTCCTCAGACTTCTACCAAAGACCCAGAATTGGAATTAGAGCCCAAATTCACAAGGCAAATAAATACTGGGCAGCAAAATGTAAATTGCGGCCTCTTCAAAATGCAGGTGGGTTTAATCCTTTGGGAGCTGTCCTCAGACCTGCTCTTCCCCTTGCTAATTAACATTCCTCTAGAACAAAGATACTTAGCCTAGGAGCTGAGTATGAAACCCCCTTAGTCCTTGGCTTTCTTTGAGGCTGAGTCACTGACTATGCTTGTCCTCAGTTTCCCAGCTGGATGGTAGAGCAAAAGGCCCATGTGTAATTAACACCACACCCTAAGAACATTGAAGGAGATAAAGAAACACTAGGGCCAGATTATAATTCTGTTAATTATTATATAAGATTTTGCTCTGTCAAAAGACTGATCCTAGTACCTGACATTTTGACAGCCTCAGTGAGTGCATCCAACTTGCTAAACTATGTACCTGCGGATGGGGGGGCAAAAGTTCCGAGACAGAGTAAGGCAGACAAGATAGGCTTTTAATTCTGAAATGCATTCTAAGGCTCACCCTAGCCCCCTTCCAGATAGATGCCTGATATTTCTTTTCAAGGTTATCAGATTCTTCCCAGTAGCCATCTTTTACAAAAAGGAAGAACCATGTACCAGAGCAACACAATTGCCATCCCCCCATGTCCACAGGCTGTGACTCCCCCTCACCCAACCCATCTGCCAAGCTAGTCCCTCTGAGGGGGCACCCTTTCCCTAGCCAGCCTCCACAGGGCACTAACCTTGCCGTGCTTGTGGTGTTTGTGCATCTTCTTATGAGCTTTCTTCATTTTCTTCTGTGTCTTCTTGTCCACCATCATTCCTGGTCCTAACATGCCAGGAGCCAAGGGATTCACAGGAGGTATGCCAGGGGCAGGTGGTGGGTATGGAGGAGGGTAGGGACGTGAGGGTTGCCATCCTGGATACCCTGGCTGTGGCACAGAATGAGGGGGCCCACCTGGGGGGAAAACAGGATTTCCCTGGGGAACTCCTGGGGGAGAAGAAAAGGGGCCCGGAGGACAGGCTGGATTGACAGGTGGTGGATGGGCAGGATTGGAGCATCCAGGGGACCCGATGTTGGGGGGATATGGATTTGGCCCTGGCTGCCCTGGTGGAAGAAACACAAAATAAATAAAGATTAGAATTGCCCAGAGCCTGTGACAACAAACAATAAAACGAGATTCACTTTCTCACCCAATACTTAAGGAGAAATGGAAAGGTGAGGAAGGAGAATGGAGAGTAGCGGAGACAAACCTGAGTTGGGGAGAAACAGGGGAACGTCCCTGGAAGGGCTGGGGAGAGGAGGGAGACAGTGAACTCTAAGGAAAGATAAAAGCATTGGTCAACCGTGGCCCAAAGATTGCTTTTGCGGTCCGGTGAGGCGGGGGGGAGGAGCGATACAGAAACCTCCTGTTGTCGGGCCCATCAGAAAAAGGGTTAGGGGTGGTAGAAGAGATCCCCCAAAACCTACCAGCGTTGGGATTCCACATGTTCAGATGCTTCCCCCAGCCTGTGGAGAAAGAAATGGGGCAAAAAGATGACGGCCCAGAGGTGGGAAGTGGATTTAGAGCCGGAGCCCTGCCCCAATGTCTCCCGCCCCACCGTAAGCTTTCCCACTTAGAGAACTACCACGACCTCCGCATAAGAAATGTTTCGTTCCACTTGTTCCTTCGCCCCCAATATCTACTTTATTTCTAGTTCCCTAACGACAGGAATCTAGTTCCCAGGGCCCCTCCACCTTCCACTACCTCTGGCTGCAGCTGGAGGTGTCTAACTCCTCAGAACAGGGCAGAGTCCGCGAATCTTGGATCCCCATCACTCATCTCCCTTTCCCTGGTACTAAGTCCGGAAGCCTGTAACCACCTACACAGGATAAGAAAGGACCCTCTCCCTGGGGAAGACCCCCACCCCAGGCTAAGAGAAGGACAAGCCTTGAGGCGAAGTGAGAGAAAGGTTGCTCAAGCAAGATCCTCAAACGCTTAAATATATAGACACACACCTCTTCCTCCAAAAGACAGGCAAATGGAGATCCTAGCTCCCAGCTGCAAAGGGACCCCGGCCCAGTAAGGGGGAGAGAAGGAAATTGGGAAGCCCAGATGCTCCGTCACCTTTCCACCACCGTCTGGGCTTGATTCGTCCTTCTTCCCAGTCTTGGCTGTCACTTCCTGGTCACCCCTACCCCATGCTTCGGCACCCACCTCTGCTACCGCCTATTTGGTAATTATATGGTCACTCGGAGTGATGATTGGACAAAGGACTCGTCAATCACTCTAGTTCTGTGGCGCTGGGAGGAAACGGTTGCTCTATCGGGCGGAGCGGAGCTCTTTAGGGCGAGGCCAGTGCAGAGAAGCCGGAAATCTCCTGGGGGCGGGGCTAGGAGAGACGGGGCTAGGAGGGGGCGGGGTCAGTTGCTGGGCGGAGTCCCTGAGAGAAGAAGAAACTCTGCTCTTCCTCTCTGAGCTCACAGTTCAGTGGGTGCAGTACCTTGTAACGTGAATACACCATGGTAAGTGTTGTATAATAATACAGCTGTATACAAAGTTCTAGATAAGGGCAGGGGAGCTCCTAAGTCCCAGCGCCAAGCCTCCGTATTACCAGCTCCCTCTTATCATCCTATGGGAAACAAAGAAACATTCTTGGGGAAAATACAGACATTTCCTAATCTCTCCCAGGATTCCCTATCTCAGTTGCATAGCTCCAACATCTGTCGAGTTTCCTAAACCAGAGACCGAGGAAGCCATCCTTGATGCCTCTGTCTCCCTCACCTTGCCCACCATCCCCCCAACCCCGCCAATCCAACACCATGAATTATCCGTTTTATCTCCCAAATATATCTGGAATCCCCCCACTTCTCTCCATCGTCCCTGCTCCCAACCTGACATCATCTCTCGCCTGTATTGCTGTAATGGCCTCTTTTTTTTTTTTTAACAGCACAATTAACAAACTTGGCCTAATGAAGATACATAAAACCATGCACCCAAAACTTAAAGACTGTTCATTCTTCTTAAGCATACTTCAAATATTTATAAAAATTGGACACAGTCTAGACCAAGCATGACTCAACTGATAAAATTCAATTTTTAAAGAATTACGTAATACATACATACTCTCTGACCACAATGTAAAATATAAACATATATACATCTAGAAATTTTTTTAAAAAATACAGTCTTCCTAATAACTTTGGGTCAAAGAACAAACCATAATGGAAATTAAATACTTAGAACTAAGCTATAATGAAAATACTACATCAAAGATTTGTGGCATATAAAAAATATGAAGACAGGCTGGGCGCGGTGGCTCTCGCCTGTAATCCTAGCTCTCTGGGAGGCCGAGGCGGGCGGATCGTTCTGAGCTCAGGAGTTCGAGACCAGCCTGAGCAAGAGCGAGACCTCGTCTCTACTAAAAATAGAAAGAAATTAATTCGACAACTAAAAATATATAGAAAAAATTAGCCGGGCATGGTGGTGCATGCCTGTAGTCCCAGCTACTTGGGAGGCTGAGGCAGTAGGATCGCTTGAGCCCAGGAGTTTGAGGTTGCTGTGAGCTAGGCTGACGCCATGGCACTCTAGCCCGGGCAACACAGTGAGACTCTTGAAAGGCAGGAATTGATAGTAGAAGAATGTACTTTGTTTTGTGTGGAACAGAAACTGTTTTAGATTAGAAAAATGTGTTCTCTTTGATTTTAACTAATGCCATTTGCTTCTGTAACCGTGCTTGCTTTTAGTTGTTAGTCAAATATAGTTAATCAAAAAAAAAAAAAGAAAAACAGGGCAGGAGTAACTCCATGACAGACTGAACTTCCTAGATAGGCCTAAGTCTCAGTCCCCCTCCCCAAACGCAGATCAGAACTGGCGCTGGCGAGAAAATTGAAAATCCTGAGGCTTGGGACCACCCAATCAGGGGTCAAAACAATCCTCCACTTTCAAAGGAACCAATGGACGAAGGGGAAAAGGGGATGGTGGGCTCAGTGTATCGTATGCCACTGGTGTGTCATGCACAACCGAAAGTATAAAAGCTTCACTTTTACCCCGGGGCGGGGTCCTGGTTCATAGGGAGGCCACTTCGTTGGTGCTCTGGGACTTGGACCCTAGCTCGAGCTAGCAAATAAACTCCTTTGCCATTTGCATCCTCGGTGACTCTGCTTCTCTGTTCCTGGGACCGAGGGGAACCGGTTCTTACACTCTGTCTCAAAAAAAAAAAAAATGAAGACAAATTTGATGCTGAATTTGTCATCTTAAGCTAAAGGCTTTAATAGATTTTTAAAACTTTTTATTTTGAAATAATTTTGGACTCACAAGAAGTTGCAAAAATAGAATTCCCATGTACCCTTTACCCAGCTTCTCTCATTGACAATATCTTACATAACAATAGCACATTTTTATAGATTTTTATATCAGATTTGTGTTAAATACTTGAAATAAATTGGAAAGTTTTTTTATATTTTTCTAAGCTGTAAGGCAATTTATATATACATTATTTCTTTTTTGGAAGATTATTGAGTTTGAAAAAAATTACTTATGTATCAATATGGGTATGGTACCTTTTACAAGTTAAATATTTCCAACTATTCCTTTTTTTAAAGCATCTTTATTGAGATCTAATTTTCTATACAATTCACCCATTTAAGGTATACAATTCAATGGTTTTTAATATATCCGAGGGTTGTACAACCACCACCATTATCTAATCTTCCCTCAAATAAATCTCTGATCAATTAATAGTCAATCCCAATTCATCCCCATACCTTGCCCCATCTCTACCCAAGCCCTAAGCAACTACTAATCAATGTGCTCCCTATAAATTTGCCTATTCTAGACATTTCATGTGAATAGAATCATACATATGTGGGCTTTTGTTTCTGGCTTCTTTCATTTAGCATGTTTTCAAGGTCCATCTGTGTTGTAACATAAATTAGTACTTCAATCCTTTTTATGAAGGAAGTACTGAATAATATTCCATTGTATGGATATACTACTCTTTTTTTATAGATTCATCAGTCAATGGACATTTGATTGTTTCCACTTTTTGCCTATTATGAATATTGCTGCTAACATTTGTGTATAAGTTTTTGTGTGACTATGTGTTTTCAATTCCCTTGTATACTTACCCAGGAGTGGAAATGCTGGGTCATATGATAACTATGTGTTTAACTTTTCTTTTTTTTTTGAGACAAAGTCTCACTCTGTTGCCTGGGCTAGAGTGCCATGGCCTCAGCCTAGCTCACAGCAACCTCAAACTCCTGAGCTCAAGCAATCCTCCTGCCTCAGCCTCCCAAGTAGCTGGGACTACAGGCATGTGCCACTGGCTAATTTTTTTATATCTATATTTTAAGTTGTCCAGCTAATTTCTTTCTATTTTTAATAGAGATGGGGTCTTTCTCTTGCTCAGGCTGGTCTCCTCCTGCCTTGGCCTCCCAGAGTGCTAAGATTACAGGTGTGAGCCACCGCGCTCAGCCTGTGTTTAACTTTTTAAGGAACTGCCAGACTATTTTCCAAAGCCGCTGCACCATTTTACATTACCATTAGCAATGTGTAAGGGTTCCAGTTTCTCCACAACCTCATCAACACTTGTTACTGTCTTTTGATTATTGCCATTCCAGTGGATGTGAAGTCGTATTTCATTGTAGTTTACAATGGCCTTTTAATCCTCCCATCAGCATCCACCTAACCGCTCTTCCAATTCATTCTCCTCATTGTTTGGGACATTTTTTTTTTTTTGAGACAGAGTCTCACTGTGTTGCCCGGGCTAGAGTGCTGTGGCATCATCCTAGCTCACAGCAACCTCAAACTCCTGGGCTCAAGCCTCCCGAGTAGCTGGGATTACAGGCATGTGCCACCATGCCCGGCTAATTTTTTCTATATATTTTTAGTTGTCCGATTAATTTCTTTCTATTTTTTTTAGTAGAGACGAGGTCTCGCTCTTGCTCAGGCTGGTCTCGAACTCCTGAGCTCAAACAATCCGCCCGCCTCAGCCTCCCAGAGAGCTAGGATTACAGGCGTGAGCCACTGCGCCCGGCCTGGGACATTTTTTTTTAAACCCAAATCTGTTGTCACCCTACTGCTTAAAATTCTTTAATAGTTTTGTATTATCTTTAAAGATCAAAACTATTTTTAGATTTATGTATACAATTTTTGTTTACTAGGTAATATGTCCACATAATTAAAAACCAAAAAGGATAAAAAGGTATAAAATGCAAGTCTCCCTCCCACTTTTGTCCGTCATCTACCAGCCTCCCCCTCACCCACATACCCCCGTAATTAGTTTCTTACATATACTTCCACAGTTTCTTTATGCATAATCAAGCAAATACCAGAATAAACTTATTCTGCCTTTTAAATATAAAAACACCAAAATATGCAGAGTTTTGTGACTTTTTCCTCCCACTTAAGTTTTCTTTTTTTTTTTTGGAGACAGGGTCTCACTCTGTTGCCCAGGTTAGAGTGCCATGGTGTCAGCCTAGCTCACAGCAACCTCAAACTCCTGGGCTTAAGCAATCCTCCTGCCTCAGCCTCCCAAGTAGCTAGGACTACAGGCATGTGCCACCATGCCTGGCTAATTTTTTCTGTATATTTTTAGTTGTCCAGCTAATTTCTCTCTATTTTTTTTTTTTAGTAAGAGACAGAGTCTTGCTCTTGCTCAGGTTGGTCTCGAACTCCTGACCTTGAGCGATCCTCCCGCCTCAGCCTCCCAGAGTGCTAAGATTACAGGCGTAAGCCACCATGCCTGGCCCCCACTTAAGATATTGTGGAGAGTTTTCCATATCAGGACATAAGAGTGTGTGCTCAGTCTTTTTCACAACTGCACTTTATTCTTTTGTATGATATAATTTAACCAGTGGGCATTTATGTTAGTTTCAACCCTCAGCTATTAAAAACAATGTAGTGCAGCTGGGTACGGTGGCACATGCCTGTAATCCCAGGTACTCTGGAGGCTGAGAAGGGAGGACCACTTGAACCCAGGAGTTCGAGTCCAGTCTGGGCAACGTAACAAGACTCTATCTCCAAAGAAAAAAAAGAAATACTGGACAACAATGTTGTGATAAATAGCCTTGTATATACATTATTTTACATATTTATACTTTTTATAGATATTGAGGCATTATACCCTCCATAGAGGTTGTATTTATTTACATTTTCACCAGCAATGTCTGT